CACCCCCCCCCACTCACCCGGGGCCACAGTGCTCCTCATGATGTTGGGGGTGTCCAGGCACCTTCCCTAAAATAATTCGAGACTCCGTCCAGCAACCCGTTACCTCCCGGTCCCTCTGGAGAGGAGACCGTGTCCTCTGAGGCTGTCACTGCCTCTTTCAGAGAAACTGCCCAGCGGAGAATGGTGGGTTGGATACATACAGGAGCAAGTGACCGGTGAGTCAGTCAATACGATGACTTATTACAGCGTGAGTAAGTGACCGAAGACAGAGACCTTTAGGGAAACGCCTCCTCGAATGTCGCTAGTGGGAGGCTAGTAACCTGAATACTGGCTCTCAGCTGCCCTCCCCCCCCAAGAGCCCTGATTTGGACCGTTGCCCATCTTCCTTGGGGGTCAACATTCTAATTTGGTCAATTTTAAGCGGCTGCTGGGACATCACTCAGCAGGGACGAGATGCGCCCACAGCCCTCCCAGCCGAACAGCCAGCCTGCACGCCCCGGACGGTCCCCTTGTCCTAGTGGCTGCGCCTGGGCCCACTTGGATTCCCACGCGCCCTGTTCACACTTTCTTTCCTATTTTGAAAATGTGTCTCTAAAGTCAGGTGAGCAAACTGGACGCCTCAGGGGACTGGCGTTCAAATAGGTTCGATGCCAGAGGAAAGTTCCTGAGACAGGTGGCTCCGCTCGAGGCTGCTGGAGCTCAGCACGGGCTTTCAGACGGCACGGTCTGGCTCAAGCACCCAAAGGGAAGGCGCGGGGGCCGTGACTTACTCGATGGTGTTCCTGTCCACCTTGCCCGTCATGTTGATGCCGTAGAACTGCTGCATGGCGGCCAGGGCGGACTGCATGGTCTCCGCCGAGCACAGCACCGACATCCGGGGGCCCGTGGGGGGCAGGTAGCCGTACTTCTGCAGCCACACCTGCAAGGCAAGAGCGTCCCCCGCTCAGCTTCACCGCCCGCAGCGGCTTCAGGTAACCGGTTACGTGCACAGCGGGTCTCTACACCGTGTTTCCTCTATCAGCATATGCTATTTAAGGGTTTTATTTCTTTCCAACATATATTCTGTAGTTTCGGTTATTTAAATATAATTTCAGGGGTGGTTTTGGATCTTTCTAATATATCTACTAAAAAAAAAAAAAAAAA